ACGGCCGGCTGTGGTGGCTGGCCCCAGCAGCTGGGGTGTGTGGCATCGCCTTGCCTGGCAGGTCACCGTGCAGGCGCGGGCATCCTTCCTGCCTGGCTGGGGCTCCGCATCCCCCATGTCCCGTCCCCACAGGAAGGGTGCCAGCTGGCCGCCCCAGGGAGAGGGGAGGCAGGAAGGAGCTGTTGTCACTCATTGTCCCCTGCTCGGCTGGGAGTAACAACAGCTCCTTCCTGCCCCACGCTTCTGGCTCAGCCGTGGGGCTGACGGGATGGGGCTGTTCCCACGGGGCCACAGCCTGGTGTAGGGAGGGCAGGGTGGTGTGTGGGGGTGGCCCAGATCCCTGCCGCTGTGCCCTGGGCAGTGTCGGCTGCTGGGGGGGCCCGGGGGCAAGGGTGGGGGGTGGTTTCCTGCTCAGTTCAACCCATTGCTGGGGCTGCTGTGGGCTGGCAGCCCCCCACCATGCTGATGCCCTCTGCCCCCCTGATGCCCTGGATGCTGTGTGCCTGCTGTCTCGCCCGGAGCTGGTCCCTGCCACCCTGGGGTGGGCAGAGAGGGTGAAGAAGTTCTGCCGCCCCTGCCAGGGCTGCTGCTCAGCCCCTGTAATCCCCTTCCCGTGCCAACTCACCAGCTTATTTCCTGGCTAATTCCCCAAGCTATAAATACTGCTCTGCCTCAAAGGGCCCCAAGGCCCCACAGCCACCCTGTGGGGCAGGGGCTGGTCCCCCTAGCATGGGGGCAAGAGTCCTTGTCCCTCCTGGGGGTAAAGGATGTCACTTGGGGGGGCAGCTGCTATGGGGCCAGTGGGACCTTGGGCAGGGCTAGCTTTAGCTGAGTTCTCCCTGGCTGTGCTGGGGACTGTCCTGTGCTGGGCGGGGTGGTCCCTCGGACACTGGTGTGCCTAGTGCGAGGGGTCCCCAGGAACCTGTGGGGATGGGGAGGTGAGGGGCTATGGGCCCAAGGGGGAGCCCTGTCCTTTGGCTGAGCATCCCTCCCCTCCCCAGGCCGCAATGAGCCCCTGAAGAAGGAGCGTCCCAAGTGGAAGAGCGACTACCCCATGACAGACGGGCAGCTGCGCAGCAAGCGTGACGAGTTTTGGGACACGGCACCCGCCTTCGAGGGCCGCAAGGAGATCTGGGATGCCCTGAAGGCAGCTGCCTATGCCGTGGAGGCCAATGACCACAGCCTGGCCCAGGCCATCCTCGATGGAGCCAGCATCACCCTGCCCCACGGTGAGGGATGGCACCAGGGGTGCGGGTGGGGTGGGTGCTGAGTGCCCCACGTCCAAGCACATTGGGGTCCCAAGTTGGAGAGGAGAGGGGTTCCCAGCTGCCATCCACGCAGCTCAGCCCAGCCAAGAGGGAACAGATGGGCTCTGCCTCGCTGCCTGGGGTGGCCCCATTCCCATTTGCAGGGGGTCCATGGGGATGCCCACCCACAGCATCTCACCCTGCCATCCCTAGGGTCCCTGACGGAGTGCTACGACGAGCTGGGCAACCGGTACCAGCTGCCTGTCTACTGCCTGGCACCTCCCGTCAACTTGATCCTGGAGCGGAGCGAGGAGGAGGCAGCGGATCCAGCTGAGCCCCTGCCCAACTCCCGGCGGGAGTTCCCCCTCAAGGTGCGGCTCTCCACCGGCAAGGACCTGCGGCTCAGCGCCAGCATGGGTGACACCATCGGGCAGCTGAAGAAGCAGCTGCAGGCACAGGAGGGCATCGACCTGGCCTGGCAGCGCTGGTTCTTCTCAGGCAAGCTGCTCACCGACCGCACACGGCTACAGGAGACCAAGATCCAGAAGGATTTTGTTGTGCAAGTGATCATCAACCAGCCCCTGCCGCCCAGGAACTGAGCCACCCCCACGCTGGTTGCGGGGAGACGGCAGTGGCACCTCTGGCGATGGCCCCGTCCTGGTCTCAGCCCTGCTGGCACCGGGGCAGCCCCTGCTCCCCCCCTGCGTCTGCCCCCGACCCGGGGGGATCCCCAGGAAGGTCTGCGTGGGGCTGTGCCACCGCGGTGTCCCCTCGTGGCTGGGGACATGGGGATGTGCCACGTTTGCTGCCGGAGGTTCGAGACCAAACGTCTCTGGGGCGGTAAGAGCGGTCGGGGGCGCGCGG